TTCTTCGTTATCGGAGCTGATGAGGGAAGTCGACTTGAGAACTTCACCCCAATGTTTTCAGTTGCTTAACCTTCTCAACACAGTGGTAGGGAGGCTAGTGCATATCACGGAAATTTGGCATCTAATTACGAGGACTGGGTACTACGGCTTTGAATTATCGTTTCGGAATACTCCGACTCTAAGTGCTCGCATGCTGTTATCTAAGGCAAGACATGATCCTTGGACATAAGTACTTTTTCATCCAACTCCGAGGAGTGCTGACCGCCAGGTGCGTCATGCGCCTTCTTTGCGTTCTTGCAATAGTTCAAGCAGAAGCCGGTAGTCTTCGGACTTGCCTATCCTTCCTGCATTGCGTATTGTCTTCTTGTTATGGAAGTAAGCGACCTCGATATGCCTGTAGCTTCGTCACACTAACTTTAATGTAGTCTCGCATGTTTGCTGTCACCAATCGGATCTTCTATTCCCCTCGTAATAGACCATCTAAATGAATCAGCCTTCATTCACCGGTGGGTGGCGCAGTCCAGTTAGCTGGGAAAAATACTGACGAAGCTTTTCTTCAGCCTTTTCCACTTTACACCAGCCAGCTGAGTCGCTGTATGCTGGGCTATCAGCTCAGATACCTTATCCTCCTTGTTAAACTGCTTTGCAGTCTCTAATCAATTTTCGACTATTCTTCCTACTCTTTTGAATCCTAGTGTTCACCACTGGAAGCTCTTTTCTACCGGTAGTTGATCCATTGTTTGTTACCTCGGACTGTACATTTTGTTCCATTTGTTGTAGCGCTTCTTCTTTCTATCTGCTCTCTGCCACTGACAACTGTTGTACTGTTTACCTTGCTGCTTTGTGAGACTGAGACTGTCTGATTGCTCCGTAATGCACCCGGCCAACCGAAGGAATACAAAGAGCCAGAATTCGGTAGAGAGAGTGTCTACATGATAGCTTAACTCTTTTCATTGGTTACCGAAACATGCTAATTTAGGAAGTCAAAGTCACTCACTATTCCGCGTCTGATTTTCAGCCAGTGTGCGAAATTTCCGCTCCACGGGTTTACCGTATTGACAGAGTAGTTCGATTCATTTGACGCTGGTTGGTGTTTGCTATTATGTTATTATTATGTCTTGCATCTGACTATTACAACTTCTTCTCTGTTCTTCTTGAATACTTATTGTTTTCGCTCGATTTTAATCGAGGCAACCGGATCCATCGTATCGCTGTTCACGTATTACGTTGACCGGGTGGTTGGACTTGGCCAGGAAACTTTCTGATCCAGTAGTACGCCTTTCGAGCCAGCCACTACTTCACTCACAACTCAAATTTCATAATGAGAAATGGGATAATGCTCCGACATTTATTTACACCTGATGCAACCAGTCTCCAGCTGGATAGCCGGTAGACAGTTGGAGGTATACCGTGAATTGTCGAGTTCCATACTAAACGTCCACGTTACTCGTTGGTTGGTACAGTATATATTTCCTGGATTTAATAGGCCCATAAACAGTTGGCAGAGTACCACCACACATGGGTAACAGCAAGAGAACGAAGAGGGACGAAAAAGTGTCGGGAAAAGAGTATCACAGCACCTTCGCCATTGGGTACGATTCTGGACCATTTCCGATAGCTTATCCAACCAGGTGTGCTCACTGTCCTGGGGCCGCCAAACTAGGAGTCTGGATCGCTCCGCCTTTGCCACATTCTGGCGCAGTCTCGTTCTCATTCCAGGCGAGTACTGGTACTCGGCGTGACAGCATTACTGATTGTGATGTGACTGTGTGTATTTTTATCCAGCAAGTAGCATAGTTATCCCTCTCTCTCCATTGTATCAATAGATACAATGTGCTTTGTATTCTAAGTGAATTGTATTGCAGCAAGAAATGTTGCACGAATTATCGTGGCGTCAACTTTATGAGTTGTGTGGGCAAGGTGATTACCCGAATCCTGCTCAACCACCTCGTCAGTCAGGTTGTGGAACCGAACATGGCAGTAGAGCAATGTGGATTCCGTTAGGGTCGTAGCACCATAGCTGCGGTGTTTGCGGCTTGTCAATTGCAGGAGAAGTGCAGAAAACGACACCAGCCGTTGTACTCTCTGGTTCTTAATTTCACCAAAACAGTTGATACGGTGAACCGCGAGGCATTGTAGCTGGTGTTGGGTAAGTTTGGTTGCCCGCGTAAGTTTTGTAAGCTTGAATGAATGTCTGCACAGTGGTATGCGGGTGAGGATCCAGCTGAGTGGAGAGACCTCGGATGACTTTGCAGTTGTCTCTGGTGCAAAGCAAGGCTGTGTCTTAGCTCCTGCCCTGTTTAATATTTATCTTCATGCAATGCTATCTTGTGCTTTCGGTGCGGCTTGTGCTTACGGTGTTCGTGTGAAGCATCGTATTGATGGTGAGTTGCTGAACATCCGTCGTTTCGGTGCGACAACCCTAGTCTGTGAGACAACTATCCGTATGTTGCTGTTTGCTGACGACTGTGCGTTGTTTTCACACAGCGCGGATGAGTTGCAGCACATAACTAGTGCTCTGGCTTCGACAGCGGCCAAATTCGGGCTCACCGTCAACACAAGCAAAACTGTCTGTCTCTTTCAGCCTTCCCCGGAAGTGCGATCTGCAATATTGCTGCAAATCACCGTTGGTGACGAACTATTGGACACCACCTCTCGTTTCTGCCACCTTGGGAGTGTGGTTTCGACTGACCAGCAGATACACAGTGAGCTTCGTATTCGCGTCTCTGAAGCAGCCGCGGCATTCGGGACGCTTGAATACCGAGTGTGGAACAACCATTAGCTTACTGTTAGCACGAAGCTGATGGTGTACAAATGCATGGTGCTGTCCGTTCTATACGGCAGTGAAACGTGGACGATGTACCGTCGGGATGTGCGATATCTCGAGCGGTTCCATCATCAGTGTCTGCGACGGAATCTTCGCAATGGTTGGTGCGACAGAGTTGCAGACACGGAAGTGTTGCGCCGTAGTGAAATGTATGCAGTGGACTGCATACTTTTGCTGAGACACCTGAGGTGGCTCGGTCATGTGAGCCGTATGGATTAGACGTGGCTACCGAAACAACTATTACATGGTCAATTGAGTACTGGAAAGCGGCATGAGGGGGAAACCGAAGTTACGTTACCAGTCCACGACCAAAGTGAGTCTATCACGTTCTAATGTTGATTGCAGGTAATGGGAATCTAAGGCGGTTGATCGGCGTGCATTACGCAACCTGATCACGAAGGCAGTTGTCGAGGTGCAAGACCTCTTGCATGCAGGTAAGCGAAAAGTGCGGAAGAGACAGACACCGATGGGGTGTACTCCATCTACGTCGAGCGCATGGTGCTATAGCGCATGCGGTCGCGAGTGCCTGAGTCAAGCAGGTTTAGCTAGCTAACTGCGAGCCAGGCTACTCGAGACCAGCATCGAAACGATGACGCGTGCTGCTGAGAACGTAGGCATAACCGGCGTAGCGTTAGTAGATACACTGCATTCGATTTACTAACCGCGTGCTAAGTTTCTTTGTTTCAGGTGGTGGATGTGCTATCGTGTCTCAATACATATCTTTTTTTACCGATCTTAACCTTTGCCTGAACTTGCACGCATTGCTTAAGATAATTGTGGTTAAGTTCGCTAACATTTTCGCGTTTGTGGCACCTTAAAACATCTGACATCTTGCACTTTCGGATTTGTTGGTAACCAATTTAGCGTTAATTTGTGTCGGCATTTTCTTTTGCTTTATTTGATATATGTTATTTGTTATTCTCCCGGTGTGTCTACACTTGATGTGCATGTTGACAAGGTTCCTACCTGTCTATTTTCCACTACCTGTCTATACTGGCTCCAGGAGACAGTTGGTCGTTGCTGGAGGTGACTGGGTGCACGTTCCTTGTGGCCATGCTACGCTTGTAGAGTGGTTCCATCCTGTGTGGAACGGGCTACTGGCCAGCCACCGTCATCTGTGCGGTTGATTCCTCAAATACAGCATGCTTGTGTTTGCCTATGAAGTAGTTTGGTCCGGCTCCGTTGATGAAACGTGGCTCCCATCCACATGCCTCCTGGTCTTATTCCTTCGGGTTTACATTTTATGTAGTGTGTGTGGGTGGGGCTGCGGGTGATGCATGGCAAGCCATCCATGGGCCCTCTGTAGGTGCAGGCGTCCTGTGTTAGATCCCATGGAGGCCGCAGTTACAGGCAAATCCGGAACCGGATGCCGCCAACCATTGCAGCAAGCGTCTTGTGCATTTTACAGTGTTTCGTGAACTAGATCATGAAGAAGTTATCTCGAAAGCCAAACGTCGCCCCCTCCCCCACCCTCTTGGCGTCAGTCATATGCGCTCATCTACCCCATTCGGTTCACCTATGCATTCAGCTGAGTTGCCTTTTCACTCGGTATGTTGCGCGTTGCGGCCCGTCAGAATGCAGGTGAAAGTGGAGGGACTTTCACGTAGTAAACGAGTAACTTATGGTGGAGACCGGGATGGTCATTTGCTGTGATGCGCTTTTCTTTCCTTTGACCGCTCCTTAACCCCAGAACTCTCATACAAACCAATCCTACGGCGCCAAAGATTTTGTGGCTTGCCACATCCTCTCATTTTGCCCAACGTGTACTCCAAGACTTTTGTCGCGATCGATTTGTGTTTGTCAACTCACACCGCTTATCAGTCCATTTGATACGTTCTGTTGTAAAACGTGGTAGGTTTATGGACAGTAAAGCTCCAACTGCACTATCCTCTTGTTGTCGTTGATTCAGTCGATCTTTTTAAATGTGACCCGCTTTGCTTTGGCACGGCGCACTACTGAATTCCGTGTTTTATTAGGCTTTCTTGTTCGGGTCCGGCTTTAATCTGCCGCTTCTCGAGTTGGTCAGCAAATCAGACTACTTGTTACTACGATAAGGCATCGGGAACTAATTTGTTTTAGCGAATATCTGAGCTTTCAGTTTGTCATACTTCTTTCTTCTGGTTCGCGAAGGGAGACTTACATACTTTGTATACTTTTCCTCTGTCTCTCTCAGATTCGTTCAAAATGGGAATCTGACTTCGCTGATCATTTTCACTCCGTACGGAGCCGAGCAGAACGTTTGCAGCTCATTGAACACCTGGTTCAATATCTTCGGGAACGCAATTTGTTACTGGATGAATCGCTTAGCAAGTATAAAGACCTCATGGTACGCCTCATCCCAGTTTTCTCCCAATGGCTATTACCTCGTACTCGCTGTTGTTGTTCTGCATTTTCTAGGAGTTACTTCACCTTAGTCTCTGGTTGTTCTACATTACATACACACGATAGTTGTCGTTTCTCACGTTCCTGAAAGCTCCAAACAACAACTGACCTACGTTCCTCTCTTCATTGATGTAGTTTTTCCGGTTCGTCGATGACTACCTTCGCTCTAAGTTCTACGACACGACTGACGCGGATCTCCTGGCCGACATTACCGCAGCACATGGTAGACACACCAAATCTCTGTTCCCGCCCGACGAAGGTGTTGACTTCACTCCGGAAGAGCTGTTGGCTGAACCTGCGATGTCCGATTACGAGCAACAACCTATTCGCGAAACTCGACGATCTATGTCTTCATCCATCGAGACCGAGCCGGATGATATTGACGATGATGAAGTCGAGCGTCAACTGGAAGCCCGTATCGCAAGTATGTCTAGCGTATCCCTTGATACTTCTCTTGTCAGTACGCAGGCTAATTTCGCGACGCATTCTCCGGATCGGGTACCATAATAAATAAGCAAATAAATAAATAAATAACCTTTATTCTGCATTTTAATGAGTAACGTCTGAACAGACGGGATCAGTGCTTAATGAGAGCATCGGGGTATTTAAGAATTAACCTGTTATGCCGGGGTCTTTACGGTTGCTTGCGCTTCACATATGCTCCGACCTATTGTGAGTGGCGACTCTTAGTTCCCATGCCTCACCCTGTTACTCCTATGATGCCCATCTGCAGTCAGTCAACCTACGGTAGGAAACCTTAGAAAATATTAAGTGCAGCAAATTCTTATCCAAGTGAGCGGATGGATGCAGATACACTCTATCGACCTCTTCATCTCGCCATATAGGTTTTCCCTCTAATGCAGTCGAACTTGATGGCTGTAATGAGGTTTGAGCAAACGGCTGAGCTTGGTTGGCTCGACAATCTAACCGCGGATTATAGTAGGTAGCATATTCACCCGAGCGAGGAAACCTCACGCGACTAGACATTGACCAATCAGTGCAAGAAAATCAATACTACAGCGCGGCAAATATGTCAATAGCACGTTACGTGTATCGGAAAGCCGAAAGCACAGCTTGGTCAGCTAAACGATGGGTAAACACTGACGACGCAAAATCGCTAATAACGGCAGACCGTCCGCGTACCAGCCCAGGATCAGTGGACCGATGAAAAACGACCAATCTGGTACCGGCCATAGAATACAAGCGACATCGAGACGCCTTCCAGCGATAGAGCGGATGATGGGGCAACAACGAACCAGTGAAACAGAAGGAGAGAAAACGCAGCCAATAAGGCTACCCAGATGAAAGACTACCCAGCGAAATAATGCGAAAGAAAAGGTGTATTTTCTCTGTAAATATGCGAGGAACCTGACAATACATGATTCTGCTGTCCACCACCGAGACTTCATTTGCGACTGCCATCGCGTCCTACAACATGGTGCCAGAAGAGAGGAAGAAACCGTTGTCCAAGACGCAGGTTGCAGTACGCGGGCAGCCGTGCTTCCGTTTCCTACTCCCTGAGAGATAACAGAGAGTTCACTAGCAGACAACTAGAGAATTTGGTAGACCAAGTGGGTGGATTTCGCAACACCGTCCCAATTGGACATCCATCCGATGACCTACCAGCTCACAATGTTTAGGCACGCTGTTGGCGACGATGTCAGAAGGGTACTGGAAACTGGAGGTTGGCGATATCAGTCATAAGGCTGATCTGTCCAAGGTGTTGAGAAGATTTGGTGAGTTCTACGAAGGTCGCGCGAATGAGTATTTGTTTTTTGGCCGCAACCGTTTACCTGGTGAATCTTTCGAGAAGTACATCACAGAACTGAAGCACTTGGCATGCACCTGTAATTCCTGTGATTGCATGAGGGTGTGCCCGATAGGTGATCGCCTCGTTATCGGGATAAAGAATGACGAACTCACGCGCCGCTTACTGAGACAGAGACCTTTATTCTTGGAACAATGCGTGGACATCTGCCTCTGTGAAGCCAGGACAGACCAACAATTCGAACGGTTGCGAGCCGATCCAAACACGGATTTGTGCGCCGTATCCCGAGCGAGTGAACGTATGCACTAGGCATCTAATGAGCAGGAACTAAATTGTCAGTTTTTTGGCCATCGCACTCAAAGTGTAAAGTGAATTTCCCCGCATTTGTTTGAACTTGTAGGAAGTGCTTTAGGAGAAATCATTCCGATCGTTGCTGCAGATCCTTCAAGATGATTTCAGTGACTAATGACACCAACGAACATGGCCAGGAACTCTCAGTAAACAAAATAGCTGAGCAAAATACAAATATGTCTTTGCAATGCTTTTGGTTCGAGGACGACCTAGACGTTTTCATCTGGACTCAGGATTCACTGCTAACCTACTTCTAGAAACATACTGCAAGGGGGGTGCCGTATGACAAAGCTCAGACTTATCCCAAGGGGTGGGATGATTTGGGGCTACAACCGGAGGGGTGTACCAGGTTGGTGACGATAAACCCGAAAAATGGAACAGAACACCAGCTGGAGTACATGGTAGTGTCAGAGGACCTTGTGCCCATTCTAGGCATTGATTCCATCCAGAGATTTGGTTTTGCTACTTTTAAGCAAGAGCATTTTATTCATTTGTGTGAGTCTGACGCAGATATTTTTGACACGTACCGGAGTATGTTTGGCGGAGTGGTAGGGATGTTCGAGTGACGCACTCACTTGACATTAAACAAGTTCGCCAAACCAGTGGCTTTACTGGCTAGGTAGGTACCTATTGCTCTAGGGGAAAAGTCTGGTGCGAGCTACAACGTCTTTGCAGTCTGGGGGTAATAGCTAGAGTCGATGAGCCGATTGACTGTGTCAGCCAGGTAGCGATTGTCACTAAAACGTCTGAAGAGCTACATGTGTGTATTGATCCGAAATCGCTTAACGCCACACTCAGAATGGAATGTTATACGCTGCCGACGCTAGGGTAGGATGTTCACAAAAATCGCCACAGCGTTTTGGCACGTATCTCTAGACGAGAAGGCAAGCTACTCGACAACGTTTGGAACACTGTTCTGGCGTTTCTGTTTGGCTGCATTTACCATTTGGACTGAATGTGTCCAGTGAGATATTCCAGAAGCGGCTAACGCAAGGTTTGGACGGTTTACAGGGAGCGTTCTGTGTAGCGGATGATGTTTTAGTGTTCGGCATTACGCGAGAGGAGCGCGATCGGAACCTTCAACACTTTTACAACGATGTGCTGAAAGTAATATCAAACTGAAGCGAGAGAATATCGACCTGCGTTGCATGGAAGTGGTATTACATGGGCACGTGCTAAGTGCTGCAACCGGAGCGTGAGAAAACCAGCTATTACTGAGATGCCTCCCCTCCCCCACAAACGTTAGAGCTGTTAGCCGACTAAATGAGATGATCAATTATTTGTGTCGATTCCTGCCCAGATTAGCCGATGTGATGATACCGACCTGGACATTGACTCACAAGGGAGGCATTGGGGTGCACAGCAAGAAGGGGCTTTCCAGACACGTAAGAAGCTAATTATTAATGCATCTGTTCTCGCCTATTATAACCCGGCACTTGCACACGACGTCCAATTCGACAGCAGTCAGTACGGTATCGAGGCCGTACTCATGCAGAACGGCAAGCCCATCGCATTTCGCAGTAGAATGTTGAGGGAGCCTGAGCGTCGTTATGCTCAAATAGAAAAGATGTTAGCGTTGATTTACGCCGTAGAAAGTTTCATCGACTATACTTTCGACCGCAAGACTACTGCCTTTACCGACGACAAACTGTTAGTTTCCATCGCCAACAAACCACTCCATGTTGTTCCCCGCCGCTTGCAGAGGATGTACATACCTCCTCAAAAGTATGACCTATGGATTGTCTATCAACCTGGTCCCGAAGTGCATATCGCAGACACGTTATCGAAGGCATATCTATCAGACAGGCCCAATGCTGATGAAGATTCAGATTTCGTTCACGTCACACAACTGATGGTTATCCCTGAGGATCGACTGTAGCAGCTCCAACAATGCACGGAGGGAGACGAGCTGTGCAAACTGCTGAAATAGACGATAACGTACGGCTGGCCCAGAGAGCTGACCCAGTTTTCCAATGTTCGAGAGGAACTCATCGCCCAGGACGGATTGACATTCTAGGGCAACAGGATACTAGTCCCCAAGGCATTGCAACGTTCAGTGCTGGAGCTCGTGCACTATGCTCATTTGAGAAACACCAATTGCGTGACCAGAGCGCGTGAGCTAATATTCTGGCCAGGAATCAGCAGCCAAATACGCGAGTAAGTTTCGAATTGTGTGGCTTGCTGCACACACGAGATGCGTCAGTCAAAAGAGCCCACGATGCTCCGCGACGTTCCGGAAAGGCCCTGCCTGCTGGTTGCAGTAGATATTTTCGTCCACAATGGGAAAATTTATTTGATGCTGGTCGATTATTGCAGTGATTACTCCGAAATAGATGCTCTTGCTACTACCAATACACAAGCAATTGTGAAAAGGTTATGGTGCCACTTTGCTCGCCATGGGATACCGGAAGTGATTGTTTCGGACAACCGAGCGCAATTCACTAGCAAAGAGTTCCGTAGCTTCAGCAAAAAATTGGGATTTCGATCACCGGCTCACTAGCGCATACCACAGCCGGTCAAACCGGAAGGTCGAGTCGGCGGTGAAAGAAGCAATGGTGCTTACCAAAGCGAAAGAGATTCACGATGACCCTTATATTATGCTGCTGGATCGCAGAAACACGCCATCTACAGAAATTGGGGCAAGTCCGGTGCAGCGACTATTCATTCGCACTACAAGAACACTGATACCAACCGCGGCGAATTTACTCCAGCTTGAGGTAGCCCTGGCCGCTTCGCTACACGAGCGACTATGGAGCAGGATGCTAAGACAAACGAAGTACTACGATCGCGAGTCGAGAAGCCTCCAAGCACTAGCAGTGGGGGAAGAAGTATGGGTGCAACCACTACCAGAAACAGGACAGTGGAGGGAGTGATTGAGAGCCGCAAGGGTGAGAGGAGTTAGGAAGTCAAGATAGGGGGTAGTGTTATTCGACGGAACCGAGTACAACTCCATTGAGCACGTAACGGGTGATTTTCACCAAACGATGATCGGCCGCAGCAACCGGAAAGGATACCTGTCACCCTGACAGAAGGAAGAAAGCTCACACGCAACGAAAAACAGTATGGAACTTATTGTAACACAATCCTAACAAAACAAAAGGAAAGGGGTGTAATGAAACGTGTGCCAACGGCCGCGCCTGGTCGGCCCGACAGTCTAAGCGCGGATCATGGACGCAGCAGATCCGCCCGAGCAAGCAAACCTCACTCGATTGGACTCTAGATCACCGCAATGCGTCGGTAGCCGGTCACGTGCAAGGAACCCAACACTGTGTACTGGGGTTTGAGAAGTTGGCCGATTCTGGTCTGCCCAACTGGCCTAGCACGGATCGTGGAACACAGAAGATTCACCCGGGCGAGGAAACCTCACGCGACTAGACATTGACCAATCAGTGCAAACAAATCAATACTACAGCGCGGCAAATATGCCAATAGCACGTTACGTGTATCGGAAAGCCGAAAGCACAAATTGGTCAGCTAAACGATGGGTAAGCACTGACGACGCAAAATCGCTATTAACGACAGACCGTCCGCGTACCAGCCGAGGATCAGTGGACCGAGGAAATACGACCAATCTGGTACCAGCCATAGAACACAGGCGACATCGAGACGCAGTCCAGCGATAGAGCGGATGATGGGGCAACCACGAGCCAATGAAACGGAAGGCTAACCGGATGAAAGGCTACCCAGTGAAACAATGCGAAAGAAATAGTGTATTTTTTCTATAAATATGCGAGGCTTCTGGCAATTAACGATTCTGCTGGCAGCCGCGGACTTCCTTTTTGATTTCCATCGCGTCCTACAACAAAGGCCTCATCCTGAATTGCGGCGTGCCTCTTTCTTGGCCACTAGCTTGATCAATCCATCCAAACTTTTCATTTTCATAGGTAATTCGTCGCGATCCCCTCTCAGTCAGCAGGTTTGGACCCGTCTGGAAAAGCTCCAGACAGCGCGTTTTCGATCTTCTGAGTTCTCGTCTGTGGTGCGCCTTCCTCGAACCCCTCCCAGGTTCCATCCCCTTGACTTCCGGATGCCAGCAGCTGGTTCCACTAAGCCATGGGTGGCGGCCGCGGATCTGCATGACTGACAGTTGACTACGATATAGCCCGGCTCATCCTTCACTGCCATGCCAGTTATGAATTGTACTGAGAACTATTTGGCCCCACGAGCTAGGAATTTCCGCATAGCGACTGTGTACGACACAGCACTTTGAAGCTGTACGGGTGGCTTTTAAGTTGACTAATTGGTGGTGGTTATTTTGGTATAATTTCTAGGTAATACTCACAGTACGCTCTCAGTCAGCAAGCTTTGACACGTCTGAAAAAGCACCAGACAGTGCTGTTTCGACATTCTGGGTCTCGTCAGTGGTGCGCTTTCCTCGGACCCCTAACCGGGCTCCGACCCCAAGACTTCCGGATGCCAGCAGCTAATGACATTAAGCCATGGGTGACGGCCGCAGATCTGCATGACTGACTACGATATAGTCCGGCTCATCCTTCTATACTATGCCAGTTTGTCTGCTGCTACACCCACCCCAGTGTGTTCCCCTGTCTCTGTCCCAACGTGACGAAGCATCACCGAACAATGCCGCGGTGGCCAAAAGGATAAGGCGTCTACGTGGTAGTCCGGTGGTGCAGGCGACTTCGCGGTATACCCATGCGCCTTTCCGGTGGTCGCGTGGCAGAAGAGCGTCAATACGGCGTACTAGTGTTGCCGTCCTCCTTCCTGCCTGTGCTGGGCTGTCGGCGAACATGCGATCTGAGGGAGGTGAGGGGAATGGCTGGAAAGAACATTGCAATCGTGTTTTCGGTCAGCTGACTTCTTAGTCGCTCTTTTTCATGTTCGGGGACACCATCCCTACCATTTGGTTCAGTTGTCTGACTTAAAAAAGAATGTGGGTGCTTATTTCCGATATAATCTGCTCGAAGCTGACCACGCGGTATCCTTGTGTGTTATTCTGCCGTACTGTGTGGTACACCGACGATCGTCTTGCCAATCGGGAGCTGTTCGGCGAGCAACCTTTGCACTCTGTCGTCATTGGACACACTGTTCGTGCTGTGTTTCATACTGACTGAGCTTATGGCCCCTAAGCTTTCGTCCTCCGACCGAATCGTGTGGGGCGAGAAGAAACTGCCCCTTCTCAATCTCCCAATAGAAAGCTTTTGAACCTGACTTTTTTTGTTTTTTATCAAGCCGGTATATGGGGCACTGAAAATGCTTTCGCTGTCTTACTTAGCATGGCTTAATGCGAAGTGACTATCGTGACATCTGCAGAAATCGCTGTCTAATGGTGAGCTGTAAGAAGAGGGTGGGCAGAACAGATTGTACTGAAGGAACTGTTACTTTGCATTAGTGATTATAAAGCAAAATGGAAACGTATACCTTATGAATAGCTGAAGAGACTCGTAATTAGCTGCGAACATAGTTCCTCGTATTCAGCTCAAACAACATGCAGTCGTTCAATTTCGTAATCTGTGGCGCGTTAAAACAAAGCGTCCGGATATTTGTGCCATGCCATTCGCTGTAGATAGATAAACAAAAGTTACATTATAAAGATCAAGAAGAAAATGCAAGATAGACAGTTCATCAGTTGATTCGAATTTTGAATGCGATCAGTAATATCCAATCCTCGTGGCCACAAGCGTGAAGTAACGAGCTACTATCCCATAAATAGATAGTAGCAGTTACCTCAGTGCATCTGGCATTCGCAATATCAAGTTATCTCGAGGAATTAGGAATTCACAACGTCGAAAGGCAGCCTCTTTGATTTTAATCTCATGTTCGATGTTAGTGGCGTCCTTACACTCGCTTCCTCATTATCTTAACTCTTAACTGCTTCACCTCTCGTTTTTCCCCTTGAATCATTATTGTGCTGGGGGTGTTTCTTTGGCGTTGTGTGTCTGGGCAACTATATCCACTGCACTCACCGGCACACGGACCACAATTACTTCACAAAGCCCGAACTATTGTGTTTGTCCTGCCTATGCTGGTCGGTGCCGACTTCGCTCGTAATCCGGTGGTCACTGCTTCAAGCCCACGGTTTACCCCCAGCCCATGCGCATTTCCGGGGTTGGTCGCGTGGCAACGAATCGTCATTACTATGTGCCGGCTTACTGCTGACGCCTTTTGCCCGCGTTTTCTACCTGTATTACTTTCAATATTTGATGGTTTCTCAATTGGCTGGCTGTAAATGACAGTCTTGGAAAACCACGGTCTGATCTTTTTCCTCCCTGGCTGTCTAACCAATCCATTTGTTCAAAGGAGTTTTTCTTCGTTCCGAATCATTTTGCATCGTCTAGTGTATGTTCCTTTGCGTACCATTTGACTTGTATTCTTCATCATTGCAGCCGAGCGCGCCTTATTCGAATCCACAGACGAATTACTGGGGGTGAATTTGCCGGATTCTGTCCATTTGGCGCAACTCACTGGTCAAGTCCAGACGACTCTTGTCATGGATCCCATGGGTCGGCTGCATCAGCAGCACATGTTCGTTTCGCCTGGCTATCCTTCCGGTGGTGGTGCGGCATTTCAGCTGAATCAGTTGCATTTGGCTCGTTCTCTCCGGCAAGGCCGTTCCATCGTCATGACCGTGATACGTCCACGGGGAGTGAGCGGTCGCCCAGTCGCCGAGTTCCTTCCTGGTGAATTGCGCAACAAGGACTATGTCAAAGGGTATATGGCGTCGGAGATCTACAAAAAAGCCGTCAAAGACACCTTGGGACAGAAAGCTACACCTAGGAAGTAAGCTGCATGTTCTCTGGAGATATTTTGTTCCGCTCGCTCTTGTGTCTTTCCTGTTTGTTGCCCCAGGACTGTAGGCCATGTTTATTTTAAAATGCAGTTTCACTCCTCATCCGTCTCTATCTCCTCAGGCGCCCAGCTCCTGGTCGTCCACGTAAGACAGACCCCACTTGGCCGAGTTCTCCAGCTTCTGTCTCTGCCGCCTCACTGATCGAAATGGGTTCGGATGACGGCTCGGTGAAAAAATCCGGCCCTACCATAAGCAGAACCTCCGCTGCCAAAACCATGCGAAACGAATACCACTCGATGGAAGACCAACTTCAAGGCGATCCTGGCGGCGGGGGTACAAACTTGCCTCCTCGACCGAAAAAGCGTAAACCCATGGGAACCCACAGGTTTGTTCTACTTACCATTTTCTGATCGCTTCGTCCCGCTTCGCACTGATACTATTGAACAACTTACCGTCTTTGATTACCGGTGCTTGTGTGATACTTCTCATGTTGTATCTATCCCGCGACTGCTTCCATCCACTAATGTTATCAACAACACGAGCGAGCGGGAATAACACTCCGAGTTCTCTTCATAAAATGATATTACTGTTTAATTTGCAAGCAGGTTAACAGACGCGTAATTGTCAAAATCAACCGAAGCACCGAAAACACGCGACTGAGCAAAGTCAGTAGAGTTCGTGCAAGCTACGGACCAATCGGATGCGTCCAATTCCAGGGAACTGTGAGCACTGTTGTCAGAAGAGAATTGGGATCCGCAACCAGAAACAGAGATTTTAGACAGCCAATGGGACTGACTGATTGATTCTTTAGAATAAGTCTCAGTAAATGTGTATGACAAAACAAATGTTTGAACTAGCATACCTGAGTTTTGTCGCTTCTCTAACAATTCAAATCTGGTGGAAAATACCGGGTGAGCAACACTAGAGTTGTCCACCCACGTCCATCATCAAAGTCTTTCGGTTCCTGGGTCGCCACCATCCTTTGGTCCCGACTTTTTTATTGAAGATTGCAGGCCCACAAATTGTGTGAATGTCACTAGGCCGCTCTACGTCCACGCGTCTCGAGTGACTTATAGCCACTACCATTGTCTTCTGTCGAAAAAAGATCAGAATGCAGCAGTTGCTTTCTGATTTTACTCAAACGTTTATTGTGATTCCGAAGTTGTTGTTTAGTAGACTGCATATGTGTGCACGTTTCTCGGCTCTGGCTACTCATGTACCGTAGCTCTACTCTACGGATAAACCGATTCCAGCGAGATTAATACCGGAGGCAAAGCATTTGGGCTCAAGTCTACTTCTTTCAAGTCACAGTCTTTGAAATCCAACACCATCATTGGACGAGGCTGACTTTATTATCTACTCGACGTTTATAAATTAGTGCATCATTTACCAGTTTTTCGTACGAAGGTCGTAGAGGACAACGTTGGACTCTAGAGATACAGTATCTACCAACAGTGACTGTGTACGAAGTGGTAGCATTTAGAAACTGTTAGAGCGGGTATTTTGATATACTCATGTGTATGCGACATTTTGTTTCAAATGATTGGAGGTTTTCTTCGCATTGGCTTCCAAATCAGCTAGTCCTTCACATACCTGAAAACGCAACATTCCTAACTTGTATGACAGTGGAGAATAAGGCACGCTACATCACAGTTAGCTTGTAACTCGTAACGGTCGCCGCTGTCCAACGCGGCTGTCTGGCAGTTCAAACCGCTAGTGCTCCCGGGTTCGAATCCTGATGGATCCGATCGATGCACAATACCGACGAGACTCAGCAGGTCCAAACCGCCGTCTAGTGCTTTTCAGGTTATCTGAAGCACTATCTAATTTGGAGACTACTGCGATGTGAGGGCTAGCGGTGCACTGGCGCACTTGCGATCTTCAGCTTGACTTCCGTGTGTGCGGACAAGTGCTGGATAGAGTGATGGAGCAAACTGCGTGTTTGGTTAAGAGAGCAGGGAGTTTCTCGTCTTTCCCCCTTTCTGCTCGCTTGCTTTAGTCTCATCTGTCACGCATTGTAGCTCATCCAAGGTCTGCTCATTACTTTTTCTTATGTTTGAATTATTTTTCTCTTTTACTTACTTATGTGTCACTTCTAGACAGTGCTCGAGGCGTAGTTGCATCTAATGGTGGTTGTGATGAACTTTAGCCAGCTTGCGATCGTGATTTCTATTGCCTCACATAACCTGCACAACGAACCTCATATGTGGCTTTTGCAAGCCAGCTCAACCGGCATTGAACTGCTGTGAACCAAACCCCGCATCGTCATTTTGACTGTAAATTTATAAAAGCCATCGAAACTCAAGTAGCTAGAAGAGTTAAACACAGTGTGACTAACTAGAACGTTCAAATTTTGGAGCACTACTTGCAAACTGCTGACTTACCTACCCTGAGTGTAAAATGCCAAACGAAGAGTTTCTGTTCATTAACATTATCAATGTATTTGTCTTCATTCTGGAGGGCGACAAGCACCAGCACGACTCTGTTTGACTATTGTCGGACTCCTAATTACATTTGTTAGAGTCTGTTTCGCAATTATTACGATTGGAGTTCGAGTCCCCACCCATTGACTAGGTTTGAACGCTGTTGCACCGTCTCTGCCGTGTACAACCGTTTGCGGTTGCATAGCAGCGAAGCACTAACAGTGCGCTAACACATCATACTAACGCTTCGCTGTCACTCAACCATCTCTGGTCGCGCGTCGGCCGGGGACACAGCGGATTCGAATCGGTGATCTTTGCATTAGAAGGCGAGACACCTTACTCTAACAAAGTGCTGATTTCTTACTGACACCTTTACCCAGCTATCTAGAGTGAGGTGCACGTTTTGCTAACAGCACACACTGACGTAGGCTATGCGCAAAACCTGACACCTCGCTGTGTGGGCAGACTTAATGTCTGCCAAACTTTCTCGACGGAACGGTTCAGGTACCTCATCGCTTCGTTTGCTTATACTCTATCCTGTTTTAAAGTCCCTTGAGAGCTGCACTTATCAAGTTAGTCAGTGGCTAGTGGTCAGACATACTCGATCCCCTTGTCCCCATTTTGGAGACCGAATCCTCAATGGTACTCATTTCCTGGAACATAACTAAATAAGTAAATATTTTATTCTCGCTCTATCCCCTCCACCTTGTCAGACATTTCGAGTATAACGTTCGGTTTGGCGTCCGTATCGTTCTGCCTACATTAGGGTGCCTTGGTGACACCCATCCCGCACAAAATTATGCATCTTATAACAGAGAAAAACCGGCAGTTCAACGGACGACACTAAATCACATCCCTAGCTTACTGTCATCATCCACCTCAATGTCTGTCTCTTCTATGCGATTCCGGTTGGACTGGTCTCGTCCTTTGCGACCTCCAGTCCCATCCAAAGTATAAAGTCAGCACCTCGAATTGAAGGTGTGTCGGCGGGCAGCTACCTACGACGGGTGTAAATAGTCTGCAGATCATCGGATATTTATAACTCACCTCAGGACTGTTCATGTTTCCGAACAGCCAGGCCAGCTCTCCTGATTTTTAGTTCAATTCCGCTGGCTAATGGGAAGGTAGGGACGTGTATGTTCTTGAAACAACTCGGTGCTTTGGTTGTACACAATGGCTCAAATCGATTTCCCGGGAGATTTTGCTCCCTCACTGACAAATCTCATTGCCAGCTTTCCTGCCGTTGCAATCTATATCCCTTGACTAGATTGTGAATTGCGGCGACATGAATTACCGATGTATTTGTCGCGACATTGCCTTCGCTACGTTTTCTCACTTTGTTCTTGATGTTCTTGTACCTCATCCACTTGTCAGTATGATTCGCTGCACTTCCATGAGCAGATTAGCAGTTTTGTAAAGACAACGATTCGCATCTTATATCCTCAACTATGGGCTTCCCATGGTGGACATCTCTGCTTACTGATTTGCTCACTCTGGAGGCTCTAAGTTCCTTTTCAACAACACGTCACAGCTGAAGGGATGGTCTTCCAATCTGCTGGTCCTGCTTTTTTACCTTGCACTTAATCTCACTGGTTTCGAAACCGACGTACATTGACAAATTTCCCATCAAATTTTTTAGTACAAAAACCAATGTTGGTAGGTCTGGTAACCAATTTAGTGGTCGAATTGCCCACTGAACTGGTAACTTTTTTCAGGAAGTTTCGTCACCTGTGTAGATGGCATCGTCTGCGCGATTCTGTGCATCGGTGTGAAGCATTGTGCCAGAGGATGCTTGTCAAATAGTTGTTTACATGTGTCCTCGTCTTGTCGTTATCGAGTGTATGGATCATCCGTCCGTGTTCCCATTGGTTATCGGACGTGTGATTCTTGCAATTCTGGCCTCTTGGATTCGTACCTTGTTACTCTTGTCTGTTTCTTTCAGCGCTTCCTCTTACCGCCCATTTTGGTTGGCTGACACTCCGGTTCGCTAGGTATCCTGTTATGGTCACCAAGATCGCACCATGTCATTCCGATTAACTGTTTTGAACCCAGCCGCTCTTATTGGTTGATCAAGATAGGGAGGTTTCGGTCACCAATTTAACGGCCGCAAATCACACGTCGCTGACTACCGTTATTTATATCTACCTAGTGGCTTTCTTGAATTTTTTCTGTTCCGTTCTATTCCTTACTTAGCTATTATAATATTAGGTTGCCTGCAAACATTTTTTTGCTCTACGGATGCAATTATTCCACTGGATTTCTGGAAAATGTTTAATTTTTGTCTATATAGCTTTCACTGATCCATTCTTTGAACTACTCCTAATAAGATATCTGATTGTTATTGATTGCTCACAATCTAGTTTAATATATCGGTTTATTAAGTCGGTTGCGGAGTACCTTGCTCCCAATAATTCCTTCGATTGTTTCGTATTTTCACATGTCAAAAGCTCCACATTTCCACACGTATGGAAACCAATGAATATGACTTATGTCATGGTGTGCGTGGTGATCTGTATAGGCAGTCAACTTCACTATATCCGATGTAGTGTTTGTCACACTCGCTGCAGTCTATTTGGTAAGTGACATTGTTTTGACCACCTAATTTAGTACTATTTTTGGTTATTGAAATCAATCTCAGGATGCGCGGGGGTTGTCAGCTACCGAGTTGCCTTGACTGCCCTTTTGACCTCTGCTCCGCGCGCTTTATATTTCATCTAAATGAATTTCTCTCTTGCCCTCCCAATTCGTCACCTTTTTTCAACAGGAGTCTCCGGGATCTATGCTCCGAGTCTTCTTCATTCGGTCCGGATTTGTTTGCCGCAGGAAGCTTCGGTGGCGGTGGTGGCCCCAGGTCAGATGCCACTCCGATTGATTACGACCCCCTTCACTTCATCCGCTGTCACGCCAAAGACAATGACGCTGGCGACAGCGAGACGAAAGTTTGGCGTTGTCTGTTCGAACCGAATCCGTTGCGTCCGGAAGAGACAACGCATGTGGTGGCCACCTGCGGAGGAGAGTGTGTCTGCTTAATCAATTGTGAGACCGGGAAGGTGATGAAGCGATTCAAACACATGGAGGAGGTATGTTAAAGACGCACTTATTGTCTCTTTGAAGTGCTTGCCTTCTTTCTGCACTGTGCTCGATCACTACATGTCGCGTTAGGGTCTGTGATGGGCTGTCCTGCTCCTTCCGATGCAAGTGGCGTTCGCTAAAGCTGTCCGATTTTCCCGTCACGAACCACTCTCCAGTGGAATCTAACAGTGCAGTTAGGGAGGTTCTACTCTAAGGAAAGCTAGTTGATCTGGAATACTAGGACGGTATCGTGTTGCTGTTTGACGCTGGTGAGGCAACACGGTCAATTCTGGATAGAATCTCAAGTGGTGAAGAGTTTCAGAGCTGTTTTCTCTCAACACCACACTCCAGGGCCGGATTCGTTAACCACTATGGGTCGAGTTTCACTCCCAGCTCAGGCTATCTCTACTGGGCGAGTCCAAATCAATACGAAACCGGTCGTTCGTGGAGTGCAGCGTTGGAAGAGAACAGGTCCGATTGTGTTTCGAAAGCAGTCCCAGTGATCGAAATGGCCAAAGTTTGCTTCAACGCAAACCATAGCCTTAATTGACATTCCGTCTTGCAATCCAGACACGATGGGTACTCCACGATCCAACATTGAACTCTCTAAAATGGTTACGTCCTCAGGTGTGCGCTTCACGCCTTCAAAGAGCAAAGTGCTGTGGCCGAATGATCATCCAATTGGTAATTCATTGGGAGTCGTTTTGAAGCCATCTCATTCTGCTTCAGATACGGCTCTAGTGACCGAACCACTAGTGGTTCAATTCAAAGTAAACTGCGGTTCGTATTGAGGTTGTCGGAATCCATTCATACAACGGCGTTTGCTTCAAAATAGCCCTGTTGATGGTTGCTTAAGGTTTTTAGGCGTGCAACTAAATCAGCCATCGGCTAGGTCTTCTACTTTGTTTGCTATTCTGAAGAAAACGCTCAAGTCCCTCGCAAGACTTCTAGTTCTGACGAGGGAAAAATCAGCAATAAAATGATCTTACAAAAGAACGTCTTAATCGGAACACTCCTAAAGCACTTTACAACAGGTACACCTTGGCAACATTTATAGGTCGTCCAATAACATTCGACTTCTAGTACAGAAAGATCAAATGTTAAAATTGGCAGTACCATCCGATCCAACCAACCCTCAGGATGCTGGGCCGTCACGTGCAGCCTGAACAAATCGGGAATGTTCGAAATCTATATTACTCGATTAATCGTTGGAGTAGTAGTTCTTCTTCCGAAAAATTCTCACTTATTTCCCGGATACAATCTTAACTTACATCAGAAGCGCTGGTATCAAACATAGACAGACGGCATGTATGATCGGAGAGATAGCTGGCATCGCGAGATAATACCAAAAATATGAATGTACAGTAACCACAATGATGACTTATTATCAGTGCAGTACCACGTGGATGTACTACAGTTAACCTGTCAAATTTAGATGTGGAGCTTACAGTCCCTTCAGTTAATAACCGTTGAGACAAGCTTTGCCCATCACAACTCACTGGCTTGGGTGTGTAAGCTCCGGACACACTGGTCGATTTGGCGACCAATGGACCTCATTTACATTGCTCTTGTGAGTTTCTTTGTCCTACAAACTCCCACTTCGCTCCCCCCCACACACACACACAACCACGATCTCCCAATGCATGCGTAATCTGACCTTTATACTTCCGGCCCATGACCTAAAGAATCACAAGCCTGCCTTGTAATCCGAGGGCGCGAGTTCGAGTCTGCGTAGGGAGCTGGGCGACCCTCGCAGCCCACGCGCGACTTTTGGTGGTTGCGCAGCAGCGAACCGTCGATACTGCGTGCCGGCGTGTTGTTGATACCCACCTACGGGCTCCGGATAACACTCCGGAAATCCCGGGTTCTAACCGCAGTCCTGTTATCTGTGGCTGATGGGTCCAGGCAAGTTCGAAACCGGTCGTTGGGTGCAATGTTTTTGTGTAAGCAACACTTAAAAGCTGTCCACTTTTTAAGGCCTTGACCTTTGACGGTGACGAACTGCAAATAGTTGGCAGCCGAACTAACCTCGATTTGCAGTGGCAACTACATTACCAAAGGAGGTCCGGTACCCTCGAAGATGATCAGCATCAGCAAAAGAATTCGCTTATCTAGATGTCTGAACACTAAGGCAAAGCTGGAACACGCAAGTGAATCCCACACTGGGCTGCCGTAAATGAGTACTGCTGGATAGTGGGAACCCAACTTTGCTCTAATCCCGAGTTCGATTACGCCTTAAATCGGCAACGTGAATGAAATACACTTTCGGGTCTGTTTATGGGAGGAGAACGAATCGTGCATGCCGTGCAATCCGTTGTGGACAACATGCCGCTCAAAGTTCGTCACCAAGCGACGGAATTCCTTTATGCATGTGTGTGATCGGTAACTAGCACTTGGATACTACCATCAGCTAGGGATAGCCACCCGCATTATACATACGACAGCAATCCCCAAAGGGGTACAGTGCACGGACAAACTTCGTGGCAACTGGGTGTAGTAAGACGCGGGACGAAAAACTCACTATGGGCAACGAAGTATGGGTTACTAGGACGGTTATTTGGATGGATCTAGCGCTCATTTAGACTGGTAACCAAACGGATAGGGCCTACTATTTTCATGCCTTGGATTGCATGACACTGTGTGCTTTGTTGAGAGTGAACGAGGGCTACCTGGGTTCACAATTTTCTCACTGCGGATTGGGGGGAGTGTGTCCGACCCGAAATAAAACTGACTTTAAAGAGGACTAGTTCACTTATTACGCAGGCGAGAACCGTCCTACGGAAACTGTGACTTCTTTGCCGTCAGAAGGGGATTTCTATATACCTGAAAGACCGTACATAACGGGCCGCAATAAAGGCTATCCGTCTATGGGAATGAGATTTAGCTCTTTCGGTCTGTGAATCCGAAGCGCCTTTTGTTTTTTCATACTTGTCTGCGGAGTATCTCAGCCAGCAGATAGCACCCGCATGTACACGTCGATGAGATGCACAGGCGAGTGCTAGGTGGGGATAGTCAGGTCAGTTCATTAGAACGATAAAATAATATGAAATAATTCACCTTGACTTGACCATATTCTGTGTACGCCCTGTCATCACCCACCGAGGGTCTCGTTTTCACTGCCGAACAATGTTGGATGGCGCCAGGCTCGAAATGCGCGACATTTGCTTTAGCAGCCGGGAATGAGGTGTTTGACCGTCCCTTGGACTTAAGGATCACAAGCTTGCCATGTACTCCGGAGATCGGGGCTCCGAACCTGTGTAGACGACCCTCGCGCAGTATCCTTAGCCCACGTGCACCTGGTGGTGGTCGCACGAAAGCGAAGCGCCGTTAAGACGTACAGCTGACGCGTTATATTTTATTTTTGTATGTTTTATTTTTGTCCGTCTCACCCTCCAGCATGTAGGTCATACTACCAACCCTGTTCTTGGCCAGAGACTGTAAAAAACATCACTCGCAGCTGTTGCCAGTTCCACGTTTGCTTCCATTTCCCCACTAGACTCTCTGTATAGATTATATTTGATGCTAAGTTTTATATGTATTAATGGCTGATTGTGACAGGAGGCACAGCGAAATCCACAAGCAAGCTGTTTCTTTGATGTTACCTTTGCACGGTAGCTTGGAGATTGCTTGGAGGTGTGTGTGTGTTATCAATAAAGTGTGGGTAACTTGCTCCTGACTGTTTGTCTTGGGCACTTTTGTTTTACATTGTGTTCCCCTTCTGCCTCTTAGTACATTTTTCCAAAAGTCATCATGTTTTTGTAACAGTGATGCATCAGTTCAAAGTACCGATGTACTACTGTCGGTTATGTTGAAGACTGAAAATAATGAGCTAGTAAACCTACGTCTGCCTTGCTCTATCATAGTTTGTTCTGGTACGTGCGTGGTATCACCTCACTGATTCCTGCGCGTTCATAGCATATTACAATTGATCATATGCTATTCGAACTTGCGATGAGTTCCCTGAATCTGAACTCAATAAATTGGGTGTCTAGGAACTACTTGAATTTCCACGCCGATTTCACATCAACTATTGTCTTGGGCAAACTGTTCCAATATTTCACCACTCGAAGCATAGAGGGTGAGCTAGCCGCTTTAGGTTCGGTACCGTTAGCTTGTAACGGTGCCCTGCGAGTGTTGCTTGATACGCACATGTGAAGCAGCTGCCTCAGCATGGAAAGTGACTGAGATGCAATATCCGATGCGTCGTAATGAGTTCCCTTCTAAACCGACGATATGACAGGGTGTACCCTCCCAGTCATTTGCATCGGTCTTCATACGACATAGTCCGTAAAGTGGAGGTGAGCTTGGTAACTACATGCTGAACGCGTTCCAGTCTATGCACCTCGCCGCGGGTGTTCGGACCATATGTGCGGGTGATCCGTACTCGAGCATCGATATGATGATGAGAGAGAAGATGTGCGTAACAATTACTTTAGACCAAATGCAGAATGTGCGTTTGAGCGCCCGAAGCATGCGCAGTCCGTTTCCATATAGCTCGTTCGTGTTGTCCAAGGACTTCAAATCGCAGCGTGTGAGTACCTTAAAATACTTTACGGAAGGTGTGGGATGTAGCAGTTGATCGGCCAATGCGTACGTACGCCCATCACCATCCTTCGGGGCCAGCCCTGTCCTCTGCAACGTTCGTAACTTGCATGGCAGTGGAGGATAAGACGCGCTATATCACGGTCAGCTTGTAAATCATGACGGTCCGAAGCCCAGTGGCATAAGCTGCTGACTGGCGGTTCAAGCCGCTGGTGGTCATGGGTTCGAATCCTGACGGATCCGTTGGATGCGCACTACTGACGATGCCCAGCAGGCTGAAACTGCAATCTAGTGCTTTTCCGAGCATGTGGACGACTATCTGATTTGGAAACTGGCTGCGAAGAACCTCACTTAATTTCATAAATAATGGTTTGACTGGGTCAACCGGTAGATCGACATCTGCAAATCACCTGAACAGGAGATCGAGGTCATGCTGAAGTAGGTCGCTTTCTTTGACAATCCTCCTGTGTTGGTTTCTCTAAACACGCTGTTGTCCGTATTGCTTCTCTTTGTTGTTTCGTACGGAATAACAGCAGCTCCTTTGATTCCAACATCTCGATCAGTTAGTACGAATGTGTGCACCGAAATCTTGGCGAGATTATTGAGTCTAGAAGGAGGATGATCCTCACTAGTCAGTTCGTATCATCGTGTCTAACCCCACCGAGAAATAGCCAACCTTACGAGTAGGCTATTCAACCAAAGGCTCGGGGTGGTGTCCCCAAAGTCAACTTCCTACTTCGGCATAAGTAACGGGATAGTACCGTGTCCTCTGAGGAAACTATGCATTTCACTGTTTTGTGTTGTTTTCTTTTTATAACAACTATACCTTTGGTTTCCATGGCTTTGATGGTCCCATGCCTATCCGTAAACTGCCGAAACATAGCAATAACCTTGTGTGTTAAAACCAGATACAGTGCGTTAGGACTTTTGGAGCAGCTTCCCCTCCTCGCTGATTTCCATTCCTGCCACCAACAACACCACTGCCGATTGCTGCGCTCGCTTACATCGCGCCTGGTATTCTTTTTCATTTTGCCGTATCACCTCCATTGTTTGCATCATTCTTCCTTATTTTCTCGGGACAGCATCTGCCTTCCTTATCTTCTTTCTCAGCGTAACACTGTACATGTTGGCCATTGTTTTCACTCAATGACCGAGCAGATAAGTATGCAATCACTTATTCACTGTATCAGCGGATTACTGTGGACGCTTTTAACTCTGAATCTTGCTAGATTCGCTATCGCACCCTGCTTCATACCGTTCCCCTTGCTTCTCCACATTGTTACCCATAACTCGCCCATTTTCCCATCCATCTCACCCCGTCCTCAACAACAACAACAACAACAACCACTGCCTCGTCCGTCTATTTCTCTGCAGGAATTCTACACCATTGCATGGACCACTGTGGAAGTGGAAAGTGGCAAATGCACCAACATCCTCGCGGCCGCGGGCCGCATGCGTGAAATCCGACTGCTTCATCCCGAACAGCTGGTTTGCTACGCTGAGATGAAAGGACACACAGAAGATGTGACAGCCATGATTTTCCATCAGACTCAATCCACCATATTGTTCAGCGGTGACTCTAAAGTACGTGTCTTACCTTGCACTCCGTCTTCGATCTTTTCGGTTTTCTGCGGTGATATCCCCTTCCCTGGACACCCTGTCTGTGGTGAATTTACATACACACACACTGAGGCAGCTGTAGTTCCATTCCCCTCGATATCACCTCCTGGCGTTATCTCCCTTCGAGCCCCACCTTCTAGATGTGATTCGCTTTGATTACTGCCCTCCACTTTTCCCGTACTCCAATAATACCTTCATTCATCCCTTCTGTCATTCTGCAGCCATCTAACGTCGTCACTTACCGGCACTGAAGTGTACCATGCGTGCGACTTGTAATCCACAAGTCACTGGTTTGAATCTGCGTAAGGACCAGCTCCATCGCAGTATCTCCCCAACCCACGTGGAACCACACTGTCGGTTCTAGTTTTCTTCTTAATGCCACTGCTTTAGGAGCTCCGCTTCGGCTGTAAAGGGGGCCACGTTTGCACACACACATTTGATTTAAGTCCCGTGGGACACGTCCTGAGAGCCATCGTGCTTCTACATGTGCGAACCTTACATATTTTGACGCTTCCCCATCCACCCGTGTACTTACCCCATCTCCTTCTTCACTTTCACCAGGCCTCAGTGCTTGTCTGGGATATCGGTGTTCCCTCGGTGCCTGACTACAAGACACGCTATCAATTGCTGATGCGGTTGCGTTGCCCTCGTTTGGATGTCAATCCCGTACTAAACTTGGTCTTCCTACCGCACTATGCTTATCTGATCGCCGGGTGCGAGGACGGCTTGTTCGCTTGGAAGATAACCGATCTACGTTTGGAGAAACGTGAACGCGAACCGGACATGGAGCTTAAATTGGATTTTGATCACGAAGTGTGCATCGATGCGCTCGCGCAACTCAGTGACAACGCTTTGGTGATCAAAGTTGTAGAGTCCGGAGAAATCATGGTGTTCGACTTCGCTTCGGTGCTTGAGCGGCGCAAGGGTGTGTCTCCTCTCCTCCATTTGAAACATTTCTATTTGTCTTCATTTGCCCCTTTTGAAGGAGATGTGTGGTACTTCACCTATTGTCTGAGTCTACCGGGAGCTGCATGCTTCCGGATGAGAATAACCCAGTTCGATTCCGTACTGTTTACTTCATGATTGTCATTCGAACCTACCGGCTAAGTAGGCACCGTCTTAGTAGAACTGTCTGCTCTATTGGGTCCCGCATTCTCAGTTGTATCTATTTATGATACCACGAAATTAAAAATAACGCACGCTCTAGCTACTAGGGCAAGTAGATAAAACTATCAAGAAGCGGTTATTTTTGTCAGATGCCTTTGAAAAGCGGTGCATATCTATTTGCCATGTCTTCGTCACGCACTTACCAACCGGTAACATATTGCTTCTCCCCTTAACGCCGGCCGTTGGTCCCATGCTCAAATCTTGGCCAGATAATCTTGTAATCAGCTTACTCCTTCTGACCATAACCAGTTTAGTACAGCAAATAGTCTGCCCTGAAATTTAGATGGAGATTGTCATGGCATACGTTGTTTGTTAGGTCATGAGACCTCTATGTGTAAGTAGTTTAACCTGACGAAAGTATAGACTCCCTGAGCGCTTGCAGAATTACAGTGTTCGTCCTCCTCTAATTTTCGACTATGTGCCCTGAGGATAGACACTGAAGCGAAAGTACCCTTACTCCCGTCATCTTCACAACACCGTATCAAAGTCTCAACTCTTACTTCAACTCAACTACTCTCTTTTGTTTCGCTGTAAACTTCCTAGCCATGGCATCAGGGGAAAACCATCAAGCGACCCGGCGGCAATCTGTCGTGCTACCTACCCCTCCACTTGATGGGTGTAGCGAACGGATTACGCGCTTCCCTTGTAGTCCGCAGGTCACTGGATCGAATCGCTAGGTGCGGGCGAGCTTGCGGCGAAGCATCGGTACGGTGTGCCGGTACACTAATGATGCCACTCCCTATAAATATAATTACATTGGACCTAGTTCAGTACACCCAGTCACTTGTGATCTTAGTCCAACGTGACGAGACTGAACTTTAACGTGTTTCAATGGCTTGCTACATCCTTGACCCATGGAGCTACGCTGGGTGCCTTTAGATCCACTCATGCTAGACAGTTCAATGGTTACGAGTCAGACTAACTCAGTCTCACAATCCAATCCTCTTCGAAAGTTATGGAATGATCGATGGCCCTCTTCCTTTAAAACCTAACCATGGGAGACAACCGATCTACGGGTTATAAGCTCACAGCTCGATTGGCATAGAGCACGAGCGCCACGTATTATCTCTGACGGTGGGAGGACACGCCCCGTTGCTTCATGGTTTGTTAACGCCCGCCTCAAGCCAGGCAGCTTTTGGTCAAATTGATTTAAACCCGCCAACTCCCACCTGCGGCAGACCGTGGTCGCAGATGCATTAAACACGTGTGCATTGTTCTAACTCTTCAAAAGCGGTGTGTGATGAGCCTCAAACAGATCCTAATGAGTTTCTGCAATCACACTACCGAGCTTGACTTGCTCTACACTGCCTTGTGTGTCAGGCTATTGAGCCAAGTGCTCCGAGTGGAATCTCTCAAGAGTACCTACGTGTACCCCACTTCCTTGTGGGTCAGACTGATGAGTCAAAGGCTAGAGGCACGGCACTTCGAACAAAACCTTTCTCTCGGAATGGGCCAAAGAAAAGGCATCAGCAATACACCGGTACACCATACCAACGCTTTGCTGCTACGCAACCACCACCAATCTCGCGTGGGCTAAGAATACTGCGAGGGTCGCCTAGTCCTCCACACAGGCTCGAACCGGATTACAATGCAGGTTTGTGATCCTTTCGGCCATGGGCCGTCTCGGAATGAGCAGCCTATCATTTGCCTTCTCGACCTGGTCGACAGTCCTCCCTATTCTTTCTTTTCCTCTTCCCTTCTCTCTCCTTCCCCGTTTATTGATCAACAGACTGCCGCCGACATCATATCTGCTGTCATCGGTACATGTAACTCTTCCATCAAACCTAATTTCCCAGTTTACATTGGTTCTTTTAAACTCCGCACTCTGGGTCAGATCGGCCATCAGGCAGCACTAACTCTCACTCTTGTTATTGATATGAACCGCATCTCCGAAACACACAAACCAGATAGCAACGTGGTGACGGACCTTCGACTCCCTGGTTCTGAATCTGACGATGAAGACTGCCAGTCAATTTGGAACACGTGCCTGGATTCCGATTACGCTGTAATGCGCGATCGACTGGTACTCACACTTCTCGTTTCAAAGAAGCGCCTGACTTCGAACCTTCTTGCCTATAACATAACCCTTTGTGTCCTGACGGTACTTATAAGTACCACTTTGTTTAAGTTGTAATATTGCCTAAATGTAAGTGTTATTCCGGCCGGTACTCACGAGGATACGAACAATAGCCTTCTGTCGACAATTAGGTAAGGGCCAGAACTCCGTTACTTTGCTATACAGTGTGTGGTTCATGTCGACCGTGATCGAAAATTGGTTTCAGAGCATTGTGAGTGGTTGCTCTATTTGATACAACCTAGTTGGTTTTGTTGCAGCTTGCCGGTCCAATTAGTTTCTATTCGTTGCTGTAGTGGATATGCAGGGATCCGGTATATTTATTTTACAAGTTTAAGCATAATCTGTATTATACTGATTCAACGCATCTGTTGGTACCAGAAAGTACCGCCAGGCCTCAAGGGTAATATTAACAGTTGGAGCCTTTACTGGGCATAACGATGGGATAGGGCACAGAATTTAGAGATTTGAACAATTTATTCTTGTAACAGAAAGTAGTATATTTAACAGTCCGTAACATATTCATTTTCAATGTTGCACATACATATGTTGTAATATGTATATTTATTAAACTCTTTATTTTTAGATAGTAATGGTGTCGAGCTGATATGAGTGGTTATATTTCTGAGTTTGAGGCGTATCAAGGCAAATCATAGGACACATAATTTTAAAGACACATTTGGCTTTGGGGAAGTGTTATGGACAGACCCACCCAGATTGAGAGGAGATGGTTATGTTATGGTAATCGATATATATATATATATATATATATATATATATACCTGTATGTATCTGTATGCATTATTCGATTTATTTCATTTCATCTTGTCGTTTCAAGTGATTGGCTGTTGCTTGATATCCCCGGTGGGGCTGCGCTTGATGTGCATGTTGACAAGGTGCCTACCTGTCTATTACCCACTACGTCGTCCATCTCTCTCCAGGAGACAGTTGGTCGTTGCTGGAGGGGACAGGATGCACGATCTTTGTGACCGTGTTAGACTCGAAGAGTGGTTCCATCCACTCAGCGTGGAGCGGACTACGGTCCAGCCACTGCCTTGTGTGCGCTTAATTACCCAAGTACAGCGTGCTCGTGTTTGTCTGTGAAGGAGTGTGGGCCGGCTCAGTTGATGAAACCTGGCTCCCATCCACATGCCTCCCGGTCTTATTCTTTCGGATTTGCACTGGATATGGTATGTGTGGTTGGAGCTGTGGGTGGTGCAGCACAAGCCATCCATGGTCCCTCTGTAGCCGCAGGCGTCTTGTGGCTAGCCGCAGTGACAGGCAAATACGAAACCTGATGCCGCCAACCATATATATATGTTTAACGTTTGCCCACTGAACATTTGGCAGTGCCACGACACATGAGTAACAATAACAAAAAGGAGAGTGAGTCAAACCAATAGAAGCAAACTTCCATGTATTGTGTGGGCATTGATCTTCTCAGTTGCCCAGGCCGAGGAGGAGGGTTGACTTAAGGGCCCCACCCCAAACCTTTGGTCTAAAGACCTGATCTGCAAGGCAGCGTGGTGATTCACGAAGACCGTTGACAGCCAAGTGGCTCATTCGCATTCCTTGTGTTCGGATGCAGTCCACGGAGAAGCCGGTGGCCAGCGAGGTTGATCATCCGACCTCCGTTGGATACTCACTCCCATTTGGAGGAGTCATTGGTCAGTGACCTTATAGCCGGTCACCTTGGCTTTGACGCAGCGCCGTACGAGCACTTGTGGTATTTACTGGAGAACCAGGTGACCAGCCCAGAACTCCCACGCTCTGAGACGCTGTCGCTGATTGCCCGCGACTGCTGATTCATCTCGCCTGCAAAGTAAACGAGACTTATTCGCAGTTACCTCCACAGGGAAGGCATTCCCCGATTCGCAACCTGGGGACGCGCCCGATAGCGTACAGCTCCGCTACGGGGTGGTACTGGATAAGTAATTCTCATCAGCGGAACTATTTGAGCGTCTGAAGGTGAACAATATTTTTGCCTGTGGAACTGTGTGTCCCAACAAGAAATATCTTCCTAAACTTCAAGAGGACAAGGAGATGAAGAGAGGTGATTTTGATTATTGTTCTACGGAGTAAGGAATTGTGTTCTTCAAGTGAAAGGACAACAAATGTGTTCATCTGTTGTCCAATTACCATGGAGGTGAATCAATTACTGTGAGGTGTAAGGAGCGGTTTGCAACAACGACCGACACAGTGGCAACTAAGATAGTACAAGAGTACAATTCAGTCATGGGCGGGTTGGGCAAAACATATATGCTGCGCTCAATATTTGGTTATGATAAGAAATCGAAAAATATGGTGACACAGACTGTTTTTTGCAATGATAGCAATGACATATGTCAATGCATATGTGCATGCTTCATGACATCTCACTTCTGGATTTTCGAAAATTGGCAAGGGGCTTGTCGCTGTGGGAAGCAGACCAGTGAAAACAAAGGTGGCCGTCATTCGGTCCACACAATGTCATCACCAAACGAACCAAAGAGACGAAGGAAAAACAAGTATTCTGTGCCTAAAACGTCAGGCTACAAAACTTTGGCGCTCACTAGCCTACGTTTGTTGCAGAAAGGGGAAGACGTGAAATGTTGTATTCCATCCAAAAATCCAATCTAGACCACATTCAAAATACTATTTTTGTAATGTTTTTGTGTTACAACGGCAAAAAGAACTGCTTTCAA